CTAGATTCAATTGATTATTACGTTTTAAATATGGTTATTTTTCTTAAAAAAAACGCATCGATTCGCTACAGGAGGCCTTTTTTCACCACCCGGAGCCATATGAGGCACTTTTTATTATGGATGGATGTGCTTTATTTCACTTCTTTTGGACTGATGAACTGCAACACCTGCTGACTGCCATTAAACAGCTTGAAAGATCAAAGTCAATTTTTAATATAACTCTGATTGGATTCGTCTGAAAGAAGAAAGTCATATACACCTAGGATGCCGTGAGGGTGAGTAATTCATGGGCTAATTATCATTTTTGGGTGAACTAACCCTTTAAATCTTGCAAGCACCGAGAAAAAAAAAACTATAAAAATATCGAACGTTATATCTGAATTAAGAAACATTCTTAAATCAAGATGCATTTACTTGAGATGTAAATATAAAATAAAGTCTTGAAAAATTAAAGGCAAAATTAAGTGATTTTATGCTTAAAACAAGAACAAATATCTGCCAGTGGTATCTGTGTTTTTCCTCTGAAATAAGTTTAGTTTTCTGAGCCCATTAGCAGACGTTTGTTCTTATTTTAATCATAAATCCACTTCATTTTGATCAGTTTTACAGAAAATAGGACTATCTTTATATCTTATGTCATTTTGATTCTTGACTGAATGTATCTTCATTTAAAAATCTTTAAATATTTGAACTGGAAAACAAGACAAAAATACTCTCTAGACATTTACATTGCATGGTTTAAAAAAATATTTGAAATGTTTTAAAGTATAAATCCTGCAGAAACCCTGTATTATTAAACTTCAAAAATGCTAAACAGGAAACAATATCTCTGCTTTCCTCCACTATAAAAATATCGAACGTTATATCTGAATTAAGAAACATTCTTAAATCAAGATGCATTTACTTGAGATGTAAATATAAAATAAAGTCTTGAAAAATTAAAGGCAAAATTAAGTGATTTTATGTTTAAAACAAGAACAAATATCTGCCAGTGGTATCTGTGTTTTTCCTCTGAAATAAGTTGTTTTCTGAGCCCATTAGCAGACGTTTGTTCTTATTTTAATCATAAATCCACTTCATTTTGATCAGTTTTACAGAAAATAGGACTATCTTTATATCTTATGTCATTTTGATTCTTGACTGAATGTATCTTCATTTAAAAATCTTTAAATATTTGAACTGGAAAACAAGACAAAAATACTCTCTAGACATTTACATTGCATGGTTTAAAAAAATATTTGAAATGTTTTAAAGTATAAATCCTGCAGAAACCCTGTATTATTAAACTTCAAAAATGCTAAACAGGAAACAATATCTCTGCTTTCCTCCTCATTTTCTACTTTGCAGCCATTTTTGAGGTGCGGACATTGCAGGACCTGTCCCGGATTGCTATTCGCCACACTCTGCGGCAGCCTATTGCTATGGGGGAAGGACGCTTAAAGAGACGGGTGTCTTTCCCAGGGGCCCGGGCCATGCACCGCTACGGGCCCCGCTTCGAACGCCGCCGCTTCTGCCGCCGTTTCTACCGCCAGTGCGTCAGCTCCATGGTTCTCCACGACTCCATGATTCCCACAGCCATGGACGATTGCAACTACCCTGGAGGGGTGGAAGAGGAAGAAGAGGAAGTGGAGGAGGAAGAGGAAAGGGGTTGTCGCCGAGTGAGAGAAGACCTGACCGAGGAGGACGAGGAAGGATGCGGCACCGAAGAGGAGAAAACCAAAAGTGGCTGTGCTCGTGCAGAGCCTCCCGTTAATATTCTGAGGGAGAAGATTCTAAGACTCCCGTTACCTGAACCCCTGAAGATGTATCTGCTGTATTACAGGGAGAAATGAGACGTGGCGAGAGATAATATGTGCGGTGTAGCGCTAAGACGATTAGACGTGAAGAAAAGCCTTTCTCTTCTTCCTCCTCCTCTCAACTGGATTTGCATGACAATTAAGTCCTCAATTAATGACATCATGATATCCATATCCCTTTGAGAAGCAATGCTCCTTGATTCGGGATGTACAGAGATGGAACTGAAGGACTGAGCTCATTTCCCAAATAATCAATGTCGCCTGAGCTCATGCAGCTCTTTTTTAATTCAGTTTTCCCCTCAATTGAGATGATCAAAGTGTATGATACGTTACATTGTCCCTGTGGGAAATGCTTGTTGCTGTGAGCTCTTTTAGAGTAGCGTCACTTTGGGAAGTGGCATAGTTTGACACGGTGGATTGAAAAAAAATGTATAGCTTTAGGTCACATTTACCCTAGCTTGGTGAAATCCAGTCATTTCAATAGGAATCTGCGCGACTGGGAGTTTCGCGCAAGGATGGAAAAGTTCCTCACGCAGATTTCGCTCATGTTCATGCTGGTCAAGCGAATTCCCCTCAACCAAAAGTAAGCTGCTTGGTTTGAAGTGACTTCTGTGTGAACGGTGCTTCATGCAATTGGAGTTTCGTGCGAGCAGTGTTGGGCAAGTTACTCTGTAAATGTAATCAAATGACTGATTACTCCTTTTTAAAAAGTAATCACGTTACTATTCTGATTACTTTATTTCAAAAGTAATTAATAGTTAGTTACATTACTAATTATGTTACTTTTTTCTCCATGAAATTTATGAAATCCCAGCATACAGCGATTACGAAAAAGTTCCTCATGCAGATTTCGTCAAAGTTGGTAACGCGAGTTTGCCATGTTGACTTAAAAAACTGCTTGGTTTGAAAGTGACTTCTGTTCTGACATTGGACTTTCTTTGCCTGCGAAATTTCGCTAATGTGGCCGCACCTTTACACGAGACCCCAAAGTTGGCCCTCCACTGTTGAACTCTTTACCTTGCCTCTACTTCGTTCTCTAAAATACTGAATAACGTCTGCATGTGTACTGCCATAGCGCACCCGCATTTTGTCAGTATTGGAGTTTGAGGTGTATGATGCATTTTATCATGTAATTTCAATTACCATTGCTGGTAGCGTTACATTTGACACGGCATTGTAACTTTATTCCACACTCGTATGAAGGCAGACATGGTTTTTGCACCCCGTTACTACAGAATCATTGTCATATCGCAAGCTTTACAAATAATATTGTAAAGGTTGTGTGAAAATAAACAGAAGCATTTTTAGTTAAATTCTATTTATTGGTAATCGCCAAAAATTCAAGGTATATGAAGCACTTGGGTATTTTTCACGAATTCCAACCGTTGTGCTCAGAATCTTTGGCCCTACTCAGGAATACTTTAGAAAAACATTTTATTTCGTGTTTTTTTTTCTTCTTCACAGAACAAAAAGACCAAAATGTTAGGACCTTTCTATTTTTTGACCAAAAATGTTGAAAATGATCTGCTTTTTATATATCTCAGTGGTGGTAAAACGATCTCTGTACAGGAAGACTATTCTGAGCATACAATGGTTGGATCTGGTGTAACAGGGTTAAAAAGAACATTTAATTTAAACAGTTTATATGTGAATTCCATAAAATAAGGCATTTTGTTGTATTAATTTGTGTTTGAAGTCTTCCCTCCTGTGGCCGATAATGGTACTGCAAATGTAGTATTTTGTCCCTCTTCTCTTTCCGTATCGCAGCAGATTTGAGTGTTACTGCTGCGGGTATGCACGATTTTTCATGCTCTGTCTCATTAACGTATTAACTGTGAAGATAATATGTTTTAAGCGAATGTTTTCGACGCAATTGATTGCATTTATGTATTTGAACATGTTAGCCCAGGTTCGATTTCTACACATTTCAGCAGTTCAGGAGCATTTTTCTTTAGTTCTCCTTGAGGAGACCAATGCTTAGGTAGCCCATATAATTCATGATATTATCACAAGGAAAGTCTTTACTCATCTGACGTACAAGCATATCTACCAGGTTTTGCTTGAAACGATTGTGTGCTTGTAGGTGACAGAACCTTCAATAAAGTTTGAGTTTGCACACCGGACAGCACATTACTTCTGTTTCTGTTCATTTAATGTGTATTTGCAGTATGCCACTGAAATTCCAAAACTTAAGTGTTTTATTAAGTGGAAATAATGCATAATTTGAACACTGGCATTTACTGAAAATGGAGAATCCAGAATTAGGACGTTTAACCAGGGGCACTGCTATGGTTTCCAGGCCCCCTGAACATCATATTGACTCATCAAAAAAATACTATTATTTATCGCAACAAGAATTGAAAGCTAATGCTTCAGATTACAAGATCATTATGCTACCATAACATGGAACAGGACAAGGATCAGGTGACACATTAAAAAGTCCTGGTTATTTTTTATTACTTATTAAAGTCATATTGTGATATGGATGGAATAAAAATGCAAGCAGAATAAATGGGTGAAAAAACAGCTCTTACACCATTCAAATAGATAATCATCCTTTAATTAAAAGATGGTTAACACATTGAGGACATTTGCATTCTAAACTCAAATACAAATTCAAAAACATTTTAGTACAAAACAAAATCTGTGTGAACGTTAAAATGATTTTCTCAGTGTGGTTATTAGCACTGAACTCATGCATCACATGGAAGAAGGTGAAAGTGGAGTATTAGACTGCAGACATACAGTTTTATTTTGCCTATAATGCTTTAGATGTTCTTATGTCATGCTAAAACCTCAAAAATATCGTAACAGCAACTAATGACTTATGCATTAATACAGCCAGGAGTGGCAGCATTAATATCGATTAGATAATGCATATTTAAATTAAGAAATTCACACTGATTTCAATGACCAGCATCAGGATTTGCAGTACACATTCTGACAATCCAAAAGCTGTACTTTTACTATACGATGACGTATTTCGCTCAACACAAAAGAACGCAGTGACTCACATAAATGATATCTCATATGCAAAAATAAATTTGTACACAGCTTTAAATAATACATATTCAAAAATAAACCATATAAATCTAAGCAAAGAAAATACGACTGTTAAAAACTATCTACAATTGCTTGAATATAAAACCGACTAGTATGGTAATAACAGCCTTAAAATGTTACTCGACTGCATTTATTATTTTGGATTTTAATACAACTGCAATGATAATGCAGATGTATTTACTAACATGTCTCAATATACATAAACCGTTTGCTATGACACAAGGGGTAAAAGAACCCTACAGTAGCAGCAGGCAATGGTATTACCTTCACTAGTTCAAGGTTTGACAGTTCAACAGAAATCAGACTTACTCATGTCAAACTCTTGTTTACAGATCCCCGTGAACATTAAATACAAGCTTGCCAAACACAACAGACTTATAGTGTAATTCAAAGCATTCAGGAACCATCCACAGGGGTTTTGGTGTGGATTACAGGTTCTACTGTCCAGCTATCAGGTCAAGGGACTCTCAGACCAAACTTCTGTATGTAAAGAGAATCTAAGGCACCTTGGAACCCTGATATTTTTTGTATGCAATGACCTTTAAACCCCCAACTCCTTTCCTTACTGGATACAGCGATGACAACCCGGTCAAGTGTGTGTTTCTGGGCCCTTCCCCAAGCCAGCTCTTCGAGAAAGGCTTAGAGGTTGTTTTGGGTCTTAGTCAATGACGTAATGTGCTTACTCTCTCGTCAAACAACAATACAGTTCTTTAGTGGCCCAAACCAGCATAAATCTCATCTCCAGCTACTTTATGTGAGAAATTTTTTAATCCTACAACGACACAGACAAAAACATTCCCACAATGACGTAACTAACACGACGGTCAATTCCGAGACCACCTGCTATCTCAATGGTCTCACACACACACAAAACACATAACATTTTGCTTGAGTGCAAACTAAATCTGTGGAACTTTATATTGCGGTGAGCTTTAAGACTTTAAAGATCGCCTAATGTAACTTTTTTTTGTGCTATAAACGGGATGTTGAAGCGACATCTAAAAACAAGGTAGTATGAGGACCGATTGGTGGGTTCAGATAACACACCAAGATTGAATCGAGTGAAGGTTTTCACTATTTTCACTTTGGCACGAGGCCTCGGGATTGTGGGTAAAGAGGGGACGCCGAGCCGGACAAAGGGCTGTGAGTTGAAGTTGGAGTGCTCACCTTCTTGCCAGTTTTTGGCCGGCTGTGAGAGGATTGTGGGGAAAAACGAAAAAGTATATTAAGGAAGGATGAACAAAGAAGTGAGAAATAAACAAAAGGGAAAAGGTTGGAGGGATAATTTCTCACCCTGACTTTGGTTTCTTGGAAAACCCAGCAGCTGAGGCATTGAGTCCTGGACTGGAGCCCAGGCTGGCACGAAGACCAGAGGCGTCCACCTGGATCTCGTCCTCATCCCTCAGAGCGTCCTCCAAAGCCGCAGCCACTTTAGGTGCGATCACCGGCCCCTCGTAGTCTTTTGTTGTCCGTGTGGGCAGGTCCAACTCCAGCAGCAAGATATTCTCAGCCTGGAAGACGGACAGGGAGAATGTAAAAAGACGAAGGCAAAGGATTCTCCTGAGCTCATCTGTGTCATTGTAAAGAGTGAGGGAGTGTTGTAACCGAAGCCTTTGTGTGGTGCCATGCGGGGGATTATGGGAACAGTGTCAGCATACCTTGTATCTGACATCAGGCCGCATCAACATGGCCATACGGGCATGCTGACTCAGAGGCCGTATGTAGCCCACTGCAGAAACAGGCCTTTTCATCATCTGCTGATCACTGAGAAAAAGAAAAAGAAAGAAGAAACATTATAGTGAAGGATGTTAATGGACATAAACTTCAGCTTCAATTTTCCAAAAGAAGTCTTTGTACTTTTGAATACGAGTGATGGGGGTCATTTTCCAAAGGTCATCTTCTTCATCAAAAGTAGCTCTTGTCACAATCTTGTTCTTCTCCTCTAGTGGGATGAAGTTCTCTATGATCAGATGTCTGGTGGGTACAACACAAATGTTAACGGGTCAATGAAATGACGTTCATTTTTTTTTTTGTCTTTTGATTTATTCTAAATTTAAAGGGATAATTCACCCAAAAATGAAAAGTCTTTTATTTTTGATGAAATCCAAGAGCTTTCTGACCCTCCATAGACAGCAATGGAACTACCACGTTCAAGGCCCAGAAACGTAGTAAAGACAACGTTAAAATAGTCCATGTGACATAAGTGGTTCAACCGTTTTATGAAGTTACGAGAATACTTTTTTTTGTGCACAAAGAAAACAAAAATAACGACTTTATTCAACAATTTGTCAGTCTTGGTCGCACGTTCAGGAGAGTACCACGATGCATGCTGACGCAGAAGCTGGTGTTCTGACGTAAAACCTTGGATGCGCTGCGGCTTGTTTACAAGCAGAGGAAGACACACATGCTTCGTGGTACTGTCGTGAACACGTATCGAAGACGGTCACGAAGGAGAAGAAATTGTTAAATAAAGTCATTATTTTTGTTTTCTTTGTGCACAAAAAGTATTCTCTTAGCTTCATAACATTACGGTTGAACCACTGATGTCACATGGACTATTTAACCATTTATTTTGATGGTCCCTTTTGAGCATCCTGTTGACTATCAGTAACTTTGCATCTACGCGTCAACTAACTCTCATTAGAGTATTAGTAGACTGTCTGCTTAATATCTGCTAACTCTTTATTGTGATGGTGTCCCAACAGACATTCTACTGACTATAAGTAACTTTGCAAGTACATGTAAACTTATTCTAACCCTAACAGTCTACTAATACTCTACTAACACTCTAATGAGAATTAGTAGATATGTAAATGCAATGTTACTTATAGTCAACAGAATGTGTTAAAGGGACCATCAAAATAAAGTGAAACCAAAATCACTTAATTTTAGTTCCGAAGATGAACAAAGGTCTTATAGGTTTGGAACGACATGAGGGTGAGTAATTAATGACAGAATTGTCATTTTTGGGTGAACTTTCTCTTTAAAATGCAATTTATACACAGAACAAAATCTTCTATGATGAACATGCTTTTAATTTTTTGGGGGGAGGAAAATTGCAGCATAAATTCCAAAAAGTCAGAGTGATACGACTTCGTCCTCATAATGAAGAAAATACATTTGCATTAAAAGAATTATTTAAAAACAGAAAACCTTAAAGCAAAAAAACTTAGCATAATTATTTATTTATTATTATTATTATTATTATTATTAAAAATAGTGAAATGATTTTGTTAAAATACTAATATTTAAAAAAAGTCATATGGTACAAAACTAAAATGCTGAAGAAAAAAAAACAGAAAGCGACATCATGGAAAAACTCCGGAAGACCCTCGTGACTGTGATTATATACTGTATATTATTTAAAGTATTTCATACTATTTACCTTGAAAAATGAAAATAATTTAGATTTATATGTGTATACTCACGCATTGAATTGTGTAAGGACAAAAATGCTATTACTCAACGGTTACACCACATGACATTTTTAAAGTTGTTAAATTTTAACTTAACTTGAAAATGGTACAACAAAACCTTATGAAACCAAAATACTAAAAGTCTATTTCTAAGAACTTAGCGAATGCTATGCAAACGCCTTTCCTTTTACTATTTTCTTTATCTTGAATGCTCAATTTGCCATTAGCACGAAATCTATTCTACTATCTATTATTACACTCAAAAGCAGCCTGTCAGATAAATCTTCCCTTAAAGGACACTCTACCTCAGAGATCGCTTAGTACACTAGAGTCTTAGTGTGTCTGTGTTAAACTGTTAGCATCCGTAATATAGCAGTGCTGAGTCCAGATTTCCAAGCAGTCAGACCAACACAACTTAACCTCCACGCTAAACCAAACACTGACCACTGCACCCATATATGACAAAACATGCTGATTTTATAGTGCCAATGTAGAAATGACGGGAACTATCCGACAGGTAGAGAAAGACGTACGTGTATCAATTCGATTCAGGATTATCTTGATTCTCTTTCGATTCAAAAGCAATTCAGAGTGATTCAACCTGACTCCATTCAATTAACAGCAATATGAATCAGTACATTTTAAAATGCATTGATTCAAGAAATACTGGTAGCATATTGATTATCAGAGGATATCAGATTCATCGGTATTTATGAATTAATCATTGATATTGAATATCCATTTTTTATTTAGTCCATTACAATGTTGTGATGCCTTCTGGTAATGCTTATAATGATTGACATACTTAAGTTTGAGTTCTCTAGTCAGCTCATTCTGCGTCTGCTCCAGCTCCTGCCTGTATTTGACGTGTTCATCCTGGGCATCCTGAATCTCCGCCTTCACAGACTGCAGCTTGGAAAAGAGCTACGTGAAAGAGACAGAAACAGATGGGACATTCAAAAAAGATGAGGCTCTTCATAGGAATAGGTAAGGCATTTGCTCTACAAACTCCAGCAAAAGGAGGTCAACTTCAGTCATGTGCAGATGATTCTCAACAAGGAGGATGCAGATCTGCCATGAGAGCTGTCCTACTACTAATGACCCCAGAGGATACAGCTGGACTCTAAAAAATACATCTGATCACATGCACACACAGTCTTCCTAAAATCATTTTAACAGCACACTGCTAGACAAATCTATCTATCTAGACAGACAGACAGATACCTTTTTCAGTTTCTTGGTCTTAATGTCAACTTCCTGCTGCAGGGAGCTGTACGTCTCTTTGAGCTCCAGTGTCTCTTCGTCATGACACTCCATCTCCTGCTGCATCTCCCTTTCCCGCCTTTTCTGCTCACACACACACACACACATTATGAATGTTTTAAACATCTTTGCATTTCACAAGCCTAAGTGGAACTGCTCATATAATGTTTATAGTATCCTAACAGTGAGAAATGTACATACATATTTCTGTCCAATCACTGTCTAGATATAAATGAATTGTTGAACACAATGCCAGGCCACAAACTGCATCAGAATTTCTTTGTTAGCTGCATAAATACAAATCCAACTAAACACAGATAGGACTGCTGAGCGAAAAAAAAAAAATGAACAAATGCTTTAATCAGCATTTTTTTCTGCATTTGAAATCCAGATTCCCAAAATATCCACATAAACTATAAGGAGGCTCAAATAACCAGTCTCCTTAAAACAACCTTGAGGACTGAAACACAGTCCAGCTCAATCTCTCTACAGTGTGTTATTGGAAACTGTACCTGTTCGGCTATCTCCTGTCTCTTCAGCTCCAGAATCCTCTGCTGCTCATTGGTGTGGTCGACAATGTTCTTTCCTCCCACCAGCAGCTTGCTTTCCATGGCCTGAAAGTGAAAAACTGGTTACCAGATAAGTCAAACGCATTTATTTTTCCTGATAACACAATGACACGATATTAGCCAAGCTAAGAGAAGGATTGTTAAGAGTATGTTTCTGAAACTAATATCTAATCTTCAATGTATTCCATTAAATCTGTGAGTTTGCAGTGTACATCAAACATGAGGGGATAGAACAAATGAGTAATAAAATGAGGACAAACATGTGTTTCTATTGTGCTGCCAAAACAGCATACAGTGCAATCAGTGTAGTCTAATTAAGAACTAATGACTCTTACAAGCTGGCTCTTTTAATGAATCAGTCAAAAAAAAACACTCATGAATTCACAAAAGGACTCAACAAATATATATTTATTTATTTATTTTTCAGCATGACTGGTCAGGTCAACTGTTACACTGCCAAAACTGTCACTGGCCCAAATAATAATAAACATTTTTTTAAAAATTATTAATTTAAATGTATATTTATATTTACAATTTTATGTTTTACATTTTTTAATGTATCATGTAAACTGTGTTTACAATTTTAAAAGTATACGTTTTACATTTAATATTTATTTTTTTTAATTATTTTCAAAAGAAAAAATAAATTTTTACACAAATGTTTTCTTTCCCCCATCACAGTATATTTGCAATAATTTCACTATATTTGTTTACTACCATTAAAAAGTTTGGGGTGAGATTTTTTTTGTTTTTTTAAGAAACTGATACTTTTATTCAGAAATGACACAGAAAACTGATCAAAATGACAGTAAGACATTTTTAATGTTACAACAAAAACTCTATTTAAAACAAATCTTTTTTTTTTTTTTTTACTTTCTAATTACTAAGATTCCTAAAAAAAAAACTATCATGGTTATCAACCGTTTTCAACACTGAAAATAATAAGCATGTTCTTTAGCACCAAATCAGCATATTAAAATGCTTTCTGAAGGATCATGTGACACTGAAGATGGGAGTAATGATTCTGAAAATTTAGTTTTGGCACCACAGGAATAAATTAAATATTCAAATAGAAAAGTTATTTTAATTTGCAATAATGTTTCACAATATGACTGTTTTTATTGCATTTTTGATCAAATAAATACAGACTGAGACTTCTTTCATAAACATAAAAAAAATCCTACTGACCCCAAATGTTTGAACAATAGTATATTTTAACCCGAGATCTGGACTTTCTAACCTTAACTTTGGCCGCCAGCATCTCTGATGCCTCCTTCTCTTTGTGAAGATCGTCCATCTTCTTCCCCTTCTCTTTCAGCAGCCGCTGTTTCTCCTCCGCCACCAGGCTGTGGTCCTCCATGATGGCCTTCCTCTCCTTCTCCAGCTTCTCTTGTTGTTCGCGCCAATAATCCGTGATGTTCTTATCTGCATCCATTCCTTCCTCTTCGTCGTCGTCATCCTCTTCCTCCTCCTCATCATCATCCTCCCCATCTTCTAACTCCTCTCCACCTTCTCCAACCCTCCTTCTCCTCCTTTTTCTCCTCTTCCTGCCAGACCTTTTCTCCAGCTGTTCTTTCAAGCGGGCAATCTCCTCCTGAAACTCCCGAAGCAGCGCATCCTTTGGGTCTTCGTTGACATGGGGTTTGTTCTTGATGTTTTTGGCGCGATTTGCATAGCGTAGCGTGGTCAGCGTCTCCTCCAAATTGTAGGAAGCAGGTCCGATGTTGGCCACCATAACCGTACGGGCATTTCCACCCAAGGAATCCTGAAGCAGTCTTGTAAGTTTAGAGTCACGGTATGGGATGTGGGTGCTTCTCCCATCCACCAGCGCTGAGATGACGTTGCCCAAAGCTGACAAAGAGAGGTTGATTTTGGTGGCTTCTTTCAAACGCTCGCCCTGAGCACCAGTTTTGGTCTGTCTTTCACTTCCTGCCAGGTCAACAAGGTTGAGTTTCCCAACCCGAATGTGGTTCTCTCCATCAGGACCCAACTCACTGCACTCAATGGTGATGACGAAGATCGCGTGAGAGCGAGAGCTGTGCTCGTTCATGTTAGTTGCGCCAACCGAGCGGTTCTGGTTCCCCACATTCATCACATGCTCAATCTCACGAACACTTTTAGTGACGAATGAAGAGAGGTCTTTAACGTAGACACCCGTATCCGGCCTCTCTTTGAGCTCCAGACGGCGCGATTGGTCTTTCGATAAAAGGTCCCTGATCTCTTCTTGATAAATCTCCAAGTATGAAGCCCTGACCAAGTACTGCTGGTTCTGAGAGCGGGAGATGTGTGTGAAAATGTGTTCAAAGGAGTTCGGAATGACACCCCTCCTGTCGGGGTCGTTTCGTACCCCTTCCATCGTGAAAGTCTTTCCGGTGCCCGTCTGGCCGTATGCAAAGATGGTCCCATTGAAGCCAAACAGTACAGAGTCCACCAATGGCCGGAAAGTCTCATCGTAGAGCTCCATCTGCTTTGAATTCCAGTCATAGACGGAATCAAAGGTGAACACTTTTGGGTGCTCATGGGAGGACGCACCTCGAGAGTTGCGCACAGCCACTTGCCCAAACTTCACGTCCACTGAGACCACCCTCTGGAAATTGGCGGCTCGCTCTTTCTCATTCATGGGGCGACAACGCACCACTACCTTAACGGATTCAGAGCTTTTGCTTTTAGACATTTTGATGGCTCTGGCGTATCTGCTGACTTCTCCTAATGAGATTGTAGTTTATTTCACAGTGTTGCTGCTGCCAGCATCACAGCCTGCAAAACATGAGAAAGTCAAGAGAAAACTTGTGTTATGGTTATCCCAAACAAACACAGAAAATATTTATCTAGATTTATCTTGACAAGCAAATCTGTAGTAACCTTTTACATAAAAACACTGAATAAGTACATATTTGGTAAACAATAAAATAGAGTAAGCAAATGTATAGCTTACAACAAATTTACGGAATCCATTTTCATGATGAGTAAATCAAAATGATTTTTTTACGAATTATTTCATAACGATGAAACCAAGTCATAATTATGAGATACTATGTCACAATTATGAGATAAAAAGTTTAAATTGACAAAAACAAGTTAAAATTGAGAATTTTTAAATCACCTTTTTATCTCATAATACTCTAAATATGACTATAAAATGACTTAGTGTCTCATAATTTTGTTTCTTTATCTCATACTATAATATCAAACAAAGTTATAATTATGGTTAAAATTGAGAATTTTTAAATATGACTATAAAATGACTGTGTCTCATAATTTTGTTTCTTTATCTCATACTATAATATCAAACAAAGTTATAATTATGAGATACTATGTCACAATAATTATGAAATAAAAAGCTGAAATTGACAAAAAAAATCTATTAAAAATAAAATTGTGAGGCAATTTTTAAATCCCCTTTATATCTCATAATTCTCGTACTTTTGACTTATGCCATAATTATGACTTAGTATATCATAATGTTGTCTCTTTATCTCATACTATTGATGTATTGATGGAATACCAAAACAGTTCAACCTTTTCTTCTTAGGTTAGAAATAATGTCAGTTACCAATCAGTGGCAATTTGACAATCACTTTACCACAGTAGTTATTTGTACGAGCTGGGTGGAACAGTATATTGCAATATGTTTTACTTTATGTTTTTGTAGCTTTACAACTATTCAAACAAAGTATAGATATGCTTTAATTGGTTGCTAAGTAGGTACAGACATGTAGTTCCTTCTTTTTAATCTTTTTGCTTTAGGTTTTATATTTTACCTAATATAATATATTTTTATATAATATATATATACATTTTGTTCTTGTATTTTAATGGGTTTATTTCTATTTTGTATTGGTGTATTCAACTGTTTTTGTATTTGATTCCTTCTTGTTTGTAAAGCACTTTGAACTGCATTAACTAGTTTGGAAAAGTGCTATATAAATAAACACTTGCTTGCTTGCTAGAGACATTCACAAGTACAGACATGTAGAGTCGTTTATATGCCACTCCTAAATAATCATTTTCATAAGCAAACCTGTACTCAGCATTACATATTACGTTTGTAGAAGAACATAGGTCTAAAGTAGCTTGTTATTCCCAAATTATAATTTTTCAAAGATCATAACAATACTTTACACCAAAAAAACGCAAGCTATTAACCACTACATTAGCTGTAGCAACAAAGCTAATTCACATCAGCCCATCCGAGATCATTTAATCTCAAATATCCCTGTAAATCTGCGTTAACTGAGTCAATCTCATGTAATACAGCGAGAGATAACGGCGATATACAGACTAAAGGGTCAAATACGACACACTAATTGTCTGTTCTGCTGAAAACGTCGTTGCTTTAACTGAAATGATGGTATTTTTATAGTTCGATAATATAATATTGCTAATATTAGCTTGTCAAGATATATAAACGGATCTATGAGGACGGAGCTCCTCGGAGACTCAAAACAAGCGGCCTGGCAACGGCAAACAAACCGTGTCATTAACTGTAGAAATACACACATAATGTAACTCACCTCTCCCCTCGTGAACAACTTCACCTGTAAATTACACCGAAGATCACCGTCGCCTTCATATCAGTCAGAAGCACATAGCTCTCAAATCTCTAAGCGTTGAAATATACTAAATCTCCCGTATCTCTCTCCTCAGGAACTCCGTCAGCCATGTCTGTCCCCGCGAGGAGAGAGAGGAGAGCTGAGCTGAGCTGTGCTGTGCTGTGCTGTGCTGTGCTGTGCTGTGCTGTGATCCCCCTGCAGGCCGGGGTGGATCTGCTGCTGCTGCTGCTGCTGCTGCTGCTGGATCGATCCAGACTCGAGATGAACATTCCCAAGCCATTTCAAATGGCCACTATTGATTTGTATGTAGTTTGTATGTTTTGTTATTTCAGCGATAGAATAACAACAGAGTACCACTAATAATAAAATTATGGAATGCCTTATAGTTTTATTAATCAAAAAAAGAAACTGACAAATAGATATTTAAAACTCAGTTGTTCTCCATACACAACATTTTTTTTTTTTTTAATTAATACTTTTACTTAGCAGGGACGCTTTAAATTGATCAGAGGTAATAGCAAAGGCATTGTGTTACAAAACAAAAAATCCCATTTTAAACGTTCGATTCATCTAAATTTGATTCAAAATAAATTATGGTTTCCACAAAAAAATTAAGCAGCGCAACTGTTTGAACACTGATACTGAGAAATGTTTCTTAAGCAGAAAATCAGCATATTAGAATGATTTCTGAAGGATCATGTGAAGACTAATGATGCTGAAAATTCAGCTTTGCATCACAGGAATAGATTATATTTTAAAATAAATGAACATAGAAATTAGTTATTTTAAATTGTAATAACATTTCACAATATTAGTTTTTACTGTAGTTATATCAAATAAATAGCCTGGATGCGCATAAGAGACTTCTTTCAAATACATTTTTAAAAATCGTAGCCACTCCAACCTTTTGAATTATAGTGCATTAACCATTGCATTTCAATTTTTATTATTTATTTATTAATGCATAGCATAGCATTTTTTTTTTGCAAAGATTGTAAATGCATATATACTCCTTTAGTTTAAATTTTAAAAGAAAGTATTTTTTAAATACATCATGAAACCAAAGAACAAACATAAAAACATACACACAAAATACTGCTTGTTATATTTTTAATAGTAAACTTGAGGAATGTCTTTTAAAGTTGTACAAAATTACTAATAAGTACATCTTAAAACATTTATAAAACACTTCTGCAATTTGGTTTGACGCTGACTTTCAAAAACAATGTCACCTTGCATTACTAAGACATCAGAAAGCCTGTGACATACATTCTTTTCACATATGTTCATTTTCAGCAATCACTAGAGCACTGCACATCTGGACGCCTCTGGAGGTCTTAAATGGCCTTCAACTATAAAAAGTGTCATTTCCAACCACTAACACTTGACTTGTCTCTCTAGTATAATTTCTCAACCCTCACAGGGGGCCGTTTTTCCATCCTCAAAAAATGCAAATGAGTCAGTCGATACAAACGTTCCAGTAGAAAAATAGCAATTATATCATGGTTGCTCACAGTAAATGTAGTAGTGCAACATGGGAGAAATGCAGCATCCAGAGAAATTATTAAGGAACTAACTCTTGCTCTCCCTTCATTTAATTACGTGAACCCTACATCCAAATGTTCTTGTTGAAAATCTCACCAGACACCTGAAACATGCAAACCTTCAACCAGCTTTCAGTTACAAAAACGTAACTTTATTAGAGTTCCTCTTTTCCTTTCCTTTTTCCTAGGTAGTCCATCCCAAAGAATGACGAGGGTCTCCCGTGAACATCTCTCTCCCTTTTAACAAAGGCTGAGAAAGACGAAACACAGTTGCCGATGAAGTGATCGGCCTGACCGAGGATATACAGGTCAATCTGAGCAGTGTCCGGCTGCAAGCTCACGACCTTCACCTGCACAAAATGTGTCATCGGCTTTATTTTCGGTTAACTAAATCAAGTTTACACATCTGTAATGTTAAAGTGTTAATCCTCACCTTGCCCTTGAAGAGCTTCTGAATCTCTGCGGTGTGCGATTCAGAGTCGGTGGCTATGTAAACTGACTGAGAGTTGGTGTTCTTCACCCAGAGCTTCACCGCACGGCGGATCTCAGACAGATCCGGTAAACACATGTTCATGGTCAGTGGCAGGGCAGTTTGGCGGTCGTATCCCACACACTGTGGAGATGCCATAAAGTGAGGACCGGTATCACCTGACTTCAGAAGCTTGCAGGCATTTTGCTGTGTGGAATAGTAAAAAACAAATTATAATAATAGTTAGAAGGATGATGTGTATCATCCAGTTCAGGCCTAAAATTCTGCATTTTGCATTGGCACTTCAGAAATCCAATAAAACCATCCACAATAATTCAGTTATAACTTTGGAGCACAAATGTTATGATGAGATAATTTCATTTCCTGTAATTTTGTATATCATATCCAGTTGGATCTATTTATTTAAAGCGTCTAAGACTATTTAAAGCTGCAGTCTGTAACTTTAGGTGCTCTAGCCGTTAATAAACAGAACTGCGTGCGTCTTGCAGAAGAACATTGTAGCCGGAGCTACTTCTCTCTGTTTATGTCTATGGCGAATCACACAGGTACTGGGCTACTCCGCAGCGGTATCTACCCGAACCAGTCTAAATAGTCAGAATATAAACACTTATTATAGGTGTACCATAGTTATTCAGCACAAGCCAAAAACAAGGTTTGGAAAATGGAATCATGGTGTACTCGCTTATTATATACATTTTGTAAATTTTGAACACAAAAAAGTTAAGGACTGCAGCTTTAAGGTGATAAAGATATATCAGCTAAAGAAATATGTAAATAAATGAATACACAGTGTATATATATATATATATATATATATATATATATATGAGTGTCACAGCAAAGGGTCTGAATACTTAGGACCATGTGATATTTCAGTTTTTCTTTTTTAATAAATCTGCAAAAATGTCAACAATTCTGTCAATATGGGGTGCTGTGTGTACATTAATGAGGAAAAAAATTTTACTTAAATGATTTTAGCAAATGGCTGCAATATAACAAAGAGTGAAAAATTTAAGGGGGTCTGAATACTTTCCGTACCCACTGTATATATATATGTACATATTTAATGATTTTTCTTATAAAATCTTTTCATAAGTCTCTTATGCTCACCAATCCTCCATTTATTTGAACATTTCTGCTTTGATATGTCTTAAAATGTCATTTATTTATTCATTTCCAGCTTTCAAAATTCAAAACAGCAGCATTTATTTTAAATAAATCTTTTGTAACATTATAAAAGTCTTCAATTTAATGCAGTGTTAATACATTTATTACAGTTAGTTCCTCTTCTGTAAATCTATTTGGATAAAAGTGTCTGCTAAATACATAAATGTATTTAGCATAGTATTAATTTCATTAAAAAAATTATATTGAAATGCATTATAAGATTTTGTAAGTGCAATTCAAATTGCCATTTGGATCTGAACTATGGGAAACCATCCATTCACATCAGGACACACAAAGCTCACCCAATCCGAGCCAATTCTCAGATGAATTCCCACGTAGGGTCTGTTTAGCAGGCGTCTGATGTGGTCTTCTCCTTCCTGCGCCATTTTTTCAGACCACACCACATACTCCTGCAGTCCAATGTGCTCCTCTAGAATGGGGAACTGCGCTGGGGCTCCTGGAAGAGCGAGAACTGGATGCTCTTTTGGGGGAAACCTGAAGAAATGGAGAAAAACAGAGTTTGAGAGTGAGAAAAGTAGGGTAGAGGGAGTCTGAGTGCAATAGTTTATATTCATGAGTGTTTCAGCTCAAACGTACCTTTTTATCCAGTGCGGTTGGTAGTAGGAGCTGAATGACAGTCCTCCGAAAAGAACAGAGCGATCAAAGTCGACTCCAATATGATCCCAAAATGGACCAAATGGATTTCCGTCCTGCATCAGAATCGACAGGCTACATTACAAGTGCACTGTTATGAATATTTAGGAATGCATGCTGCTTTCGAGAAATAAAACAAAATGCAGATCTGCTAGAAGTCCAATAGATGGCAGTGTTTCCATAGCATGCGGCATAATAGATCAGAAAAAATGTTTGATGTGCAGCTATATAGAGAATTTCAAATTGTGAAGGTCTGGCAAAGAGACAGAAATGAATCACACCTTGAAGAACGAACACTCATATTACCTTCATCGGACAGCTCTTTTTGTCTATGCTCCTGTGAGCTGCAGACTCAAAGCAGTAGGCCACTCTCTGACCAGGGGGCCAGTGCTTAGGAGCCAAGTGCTCCATGAAGTCCTCTAGACTCACCACACGGTGGTACTGCTTCACTGGCTCCAACTGGAAATACTCACTGTAGGGAACATGCACCTGTTACAGAGAAACACAGAAGCATATACCTTGTCAATTCATTGTACTTTCTCCTATTGATCTACTAGTGTGACCGCTAGTCATTAGATGTTTGATCAGCCACTATGTTTCAAAACTAGCTGGTAGCTGATGGTTTTCCAGCTTGGAACAACTTGGGACAAGTTTGGACTATCTAATGACCAACATGAACCAGCCAATGATCAGTTTGAACCAATGTTGCTATTGTAACTAAACTAAACTAGTGTAAAATACTAAAACTATTAAAAACTGTTACTAGATAAATATAAATATTAGATGAAACACCTAAAATGAAAGAAAAAAAATATAGAAATTAGACAACTTGCCTTGGCAACTAACTAAAACAAATTTAAAGCTAAACAGAAGTGTGTAAGTGTGTGTGTGTGTGTGTGTGTGTATACCTGTTTTTCTATTCTGGTGGGGACTTAAACCTGAATACACACAGACTCATGGGGACTTGTGTCACAGTGGGGATCTAAATTGAGGTCCCCACGAGTAAACAAGCTAATAAATTGCACATAATGAAGTTTTTTGAAAATCTAAAAATGCAGAAAGTTTCCTGTGAGGGGTAGGTTTGGTGTAGGGCAATAGAAAATACGGTCTGTATGGTAGAAAAACCATTACGCCTATGGAGAGTCCCCACAAGGATAGTAAACCAGACGTGTGTGTGTGTGTGTGTGTGTGTGTGTGTCAAAAGCACAGAACAAAACTAAAACAAACTAAAATTAAAACGAATCATTTAAAATATATAATATAAAATAAAAACTATAATAATATAAAATAAAAGCTAATTCAAAATAATAATAAATACTAT